AAAAGCAAAATATTCGTCAAGTAATTTTCAGATGTTCTGGAGTCCCCCTCTCTCCCAACTAGCCTTATATGATGCATAATGTATGATGCAGTGTGTGGATTGTTCTCAAGTTAAAAGTAAAATTCCTCCTATACACATAAGCTATATAGGGCTTGATGTAGTGTTTGAAATATATGTCTAATCTTAATTCATCTGAAAGAATGACTATCTAGGTATAGGCTTTAGGTAACAAATTGGCGGAGAAATAGACTCTGGTCAGATAGAAGAGGAATTATTACTCATGTGTTCACATTTAGTATCATGAATAGCAGGGTGCTATGTAGGAAAGTAGCACAGCCCTATGGTCCATTATAAAGAATGTAATGATAAGGTTCTGAGATATCTATACCTATATCTCTCTGTCTCTGTCTCTATCTAGTGTTTTTACTGAATTCTTTCTAATTAAAAAAAAAACTTCCATGAATCACTAATAGGAAGTTCAACCTCCACTGTAAATTTTAGACAACTCATTAAGTGCCTGTCATTTTATGGAAATCTTCAAAAAAATTCATGCACATTTCTACTTCAGAGATCATTATAAGCAACTGATGGTAAGTCCTCCTGGAACCTGTCAGTGATTTAATGGCACTAATACATCCCACAGCTGAGCTAAAAAAAATGGAAGTCTTCAGTCTAAATTCAAACACATGAGAATGGCTTTGGTTTAGTGAAAGCATGACAACATATTTGGTATTTTGTCTACTTTCCTGACACATAACTCCAAGGTTCAGTGAACTGGTAGTATGTTTTGTTCATTATAACATCTTCAAGCATTTCTAAGATGTCTGGGGTTTGGCAAGCTCCAAAATTAACTTGCCAAGAACATTTTCCATTAGTATTTACACCCATATGTATTTTCAAGGAAACGGTCCGAGTGTTTCTGATTTAATAAGGGCTATTAAGTGTACAAATAGCCCCTTGAATACACTGTGATAAATAAAACTTATTTTTAAGGGAAAAATGAAAAATTAAAAAGAATTCATAATTGCCAATGAGCCCCAATTTTAAAAGATTTGAATTTTGTCTAAAATTTAAATCAAAATATTCTTAAATCCTAGAATTGAATCAAAAAAACCCTTGCTATCCATAACATCTATGCCATTTTCTATTCATTTTTCCATTTCTGTTTAATTTATCATACCTCACCTAACACCAAGACATTTTAAATACTTTGACAAATATATGTCAGTTTATTCCCAGTGCTTTCCGGATTGCCTTTTATTTTAAGTAATCTAAGTCAGTAGTAATAGTAGTTGTTCATAGAGAAGAGTATAATTCAGCTTACTAAAACAAATAAAAAAAATTAACTGGAATTGTGTACAGTCTTTTGCTAAGCACTAATGTATAACATGTTAAATAACATTAAATACAGTGCATAAAAATGTATAAATATGCATAAACATACTATTGTATTTTGAACACCATAATAAGGCACTAGTATCTAGTATATTAAGGCACTAATACCTACTATATTAATACTGAGGACAGTATTACTGAACTTTATGTCATCTATCTCATGCTTCATCTATCTCATGCTTATCACTGTTGTGATAAGCTAAATGCCAGATCTCTGAAGTTTCTAACCTTTTAAACTTGAGAATCTTTTCATGTGGAAGGGCTGCTATTTGGATCGAACTATGTTCATCTGAGGAACAGCAGATTCCAGCTGACTCAATTCCAGCTGATTCAAGCTTGTCAACAAAGAGAACACACGGGCTTCCAGAAGATCAAGGAGAGAAATAAAGATTGACAATGTTGATATGTTACCAGCTAAATTAGTTTCTTGAAACTTTTTAGCATCTCTTCTATCAACTTATTCTTTATTTTATTTTATTTGCTTTGAGAAGCGCTGTGCATGATTTTTAAAATAACCTATGACAGTGATCTTCATACTAAGAGGCATTTTCCCCTGGAGAACATACTTTTTGAGGGAGAGGCAAGTATGAACTCTATTAAGGAAGTCACTTTCCTGCTCCAATTCTCAACTTTCACAAATACTCTTTGCTAAAATGTATGTCTCTAAGAACACCCTTGCACTCAAGACACTATGATGTTTCCCTCCTTCTATTTTAATTGAAGCATAGTGGGTATGCAATATTATATTAGTGTCAGATGTACAGCATAGTGGTTCAATAATTGCATACATTATAAAATGCTCACGTGATAGACATAGCTAGCATCTGTCACCAAAGTTATGACACTATTCTTGACTATGTATTCCCTATGTGGTATACATCACCATGACTAACTTATTGTATAACTGGAAGTTGGTACTTCTTAATCTTCTTCCCTCATTTTGCCTGTTCCCCACATTCTCCCTTCGAGCAACTACCAGTTTGTTTTCTATGATTCTGTTTCTGTTTGTTTGTTCATTTGTTTTATTTTTTAGACTCCACACATATAAGTGAAATCATGTGGCATTTGTCTTTTTCTGACCAATTCCAATTGGCTTAATACCCTCTAGGTCCATCCATGTTGTTGAAAATGGTAAGATCCCATTATTTTTTATGGCTGAGTAATATTCCATATTCTATGTGCTGTTATAGGCTTTATGTCTTGTGTGTGTATATGTTTGTTACATGTGTGGTATGTGTGGTTATGTGTTGTGAGTGCTGATGTATGGATGATGCATGTAGCATATATGTTTTGTGTGAGCTGTGTATGTGTAGTGTGTGTTTGGTGTATACGTGGTGTGTGTGTGTATGTGTGTGGTATAAGCTTGGTGTGTGTGTACTGTGTGGTGTGTGCATTTTGGTGAATGTGATTTATTTGTGCTGTGTATGTATGTGATGTGTGTGGTCTGTGTGTGGTGTATGTCTGGTGTATGTGTGTTATGTATAGTGTGTTTGTGTTGTTTAGAGATATAGGTATGTTATGTGTGTGGCTTATGTATGGTGTGGGGGTCAAGAAATATCTTCCTTTCATGAAGTTATAAGTGATTTTTAGTACATGTATTAATTTAATTTAATTTAATAATTAATTTAATACCTGTACTTGGGAAAAGCCATATGCTTTCATCCATGAAAATATACTATGCTTAAAACATCCCTCAACTAGCATCTTCCTTTCATCATAATAAAATTATTTTTATATTTATGTGTGTAAGCACTAGGGAAAATGATATACTTAACTCCTTGCAATTATACTGTCCTTAAATTACACTGTTTTCTTTTCCCATTCATCTACTGATAGATACTTGTATTGCTTCTATATCTTGGCTATTGTAAACAATGCTGCAATAAACATAGAGTTGTGTATGTCTTTCAATACGTGTATCCATATTCCTTGGGTAAATACCCACTAGTGGTATTATTAGATCATTTGGTATTTCTACTACTTTTCATAGTGGCAGCACCAATTTACACTCCCACCAATAGTGCATGAAGGTTCTCTTTTCTCTACATTTGCACCAACCCTTGTTATTTTTTATCATTTTAATACTAGCTACTTCGACTGGTGTGAATTGATATCTCACTGTAGTTTTGATTTGCATTTCCCAGATAATTAGTGATGTTGATCATCTTTTCATGTTCATCCATAAATTTCTTTGGAACTAGAAAAGACTCCAAATACTAAAAGAGTCCTGAGAAAGAACAAAGCTGGAGATATCCCAATCCCAGATTTCAAAATATATTACAAAGCCATAGTAATCCAAACAGTATGGTACTGGCACAAAAATAAATACATAGATCAGTGGAATAGAATAAGGAGCTTAGAGATTAACCCATGCTTATACGATCAATTAATCTATTTCAAATAAGGCAACAATACACAATGGAGAATAAACTGTCTCTTTAATAAACGGTGCTAGAAAAACTAGATTACATTAAAAAAAAGAGATTGGATCACTTTGACACCATGCACAAAAGTAAACTCAAAATGGATTAAAGACCTAAATGTAGGACCTGAAGCCGTAAAATTCCTAAAAGAAGATTCTTGGACATCAACATCAGCAACATTTTTCTGGATCTGTCTCAGGCAAATAAAACAAAAGTAAAAATAAACAACTGAGATTGCTACTAGTTTGATAACTAAAAAGCTTATGCACAGTGAAGGAAACCATAAACAAAACAAAAGGCAACCTACTGAATAGGAGAATATATTTGCAAATAACCTGATAAGGAGTTAATATCGAAAATATATAAAGAACTCATACAACTCAACACCAAAAAGTAAATAATCTAATTTTAAAATTGACAGAAGACCGGAATAAACATTGCCCAGTCGATTCTCTTTTTCTGACCCCATCTCCCCTTCCACTTATCCTCACACAACTTGGATCTGGCCATGGTGCATTTGACATTTTATGTCAAAATCCCCAGTAAGCCAAACAAAGAAACAATTAAAAAACAAAACACAAAACAAAACAAAACACAAAAAAACGTTGCCTAAGAAACCTCCTTTAACTTCAAACACTCATTTCAAAACTAAGAAACTTGAAAGGTCTTAGTATAGCCTGTTTTTAAACTTCTCAAAAGTTGAAGATGTATATGACTTTGATGACTGGGTAACAAATGTTTTTATAATTCAAGTGGTTACCAGTGTTTGCTTTCAACAAAATTAAAGGAGGACCTAATTGAGTAGTCAGCTAATAAATCATTAAACGTAATTTGCTTAAAAGATCACAATATAATTTTGGCATACAACACAAAAAGAGTTTAAATAATTAAGTGATATATCTCTGATAGAATAATTTTCATTTCCATTTACTTATTTTTTAAAATATGAAATATGTTGTTTACTACTAGCATTTATAAGCATGAAAGGGAGTTGTAAATTTGAGGCTGAACCCTATATGATTCTAGAAATAAGTTATATTAATCCATGTCTGCATAAAATAGAGTAAAAGCCCATTCATCTCATTAAAAATGAATAAAATTTGCTTAATAATTACCTGTCAAATCTTGGCTATGTTTATTAATTGTATATTAGTAATAATTCTATAAAACTGAAAGCAAATAGTGCTTGCTTTGGTAGCATGTATACTAAAATTTGAACGATACAGAGAAAATTAGCATGGACTCAGCCAGGAAGGCATGCAAATTTATGAAGCATTTCATAAAAAATAAACAAATAAAAAGAATTGTAAATAAATAATACATTTTTTAAAATCAGAATTTAAAATCATAATTTTCCCCCAATTTGTTGTTGAATATGGATCTATTCTTTCACTTCCTTTCCTTGGAACTAGGTAATAAGTAAAAAGAGAAAATGTTTGAATTCCACATATGTCATTAAAACATCTACTGGTGAGGGGTGTGTGGGTGCTTCAGTCAGTTGAGCCACTGAGTCTTGATTTTGGCTCAGATCATGATCTCTCAGGGTCGTGAGATCTAGTCATGCATGGGGCTCTGCACTGGGCATGGAGACTGCTTAAGGTTCTCTCTTTCTTTCTCCCTCTGCCCCTCCCCCAGCTCCTTGCCTGCTCTCTCTCTCTCTAAAAACACAAATAAAACAGCAAAACAGGGATCCCTGGGAGGCCCAGCGGTTTGGCGCCTGCCTTTGGCCCAGGGCACGATCCTGGAGACCCGGGATCGAATCCCACATCGGGCTCCCAGTGCATGGAGCCTGCTTCTCCCTCTGCCTGTGTCTCTGCCTCTCTCTCTCTCTGTGACTATCATAAATAAATAAAAATTAAAAAAAATTAAAAAAAAACAGCAAAACAATAACAACAACAAAAAAACAATTAAATATCTACTGATGATACGATTTGGGTGAGATAGTTTAGACTCTTGTTTTAATACTGATATAAGTAAGTCTTTAAAAGTAGAAATAAATGAAAATACGTTAAGGACAATTTTGCAAAGAAAATAACTATAACTCTAGCAACCTTAACAAACACATTTTCAATTATTTTTTACCTCAAGTCTGTGTATTATCGTTTATAAAATATATCAAACTATTTTAAAGAAAATTAATCCTAATTTTTGCTATTAGAAATATCTCAAGGGAAAGTGTACAACAGAGAGATCATTTATGTTAACAAATGTGGTGAATAATTTTGGTATCATTGAGGGTAGGTCAACCAGATATTATGTAATTTCTGTTGTGATATAATATGACATATATAATTTCATGAATGATTATTCTAGTCAAAAGTGTCTCTTCTGAATCCATCAAGCTCTCACATTTAACCTACAATTTACTGAAAATATGGCAGAAATAGCAATAGCTAAAGGACATCAAAGCAAGCAGACAAAATCAGAAGGCAGGATGTTCTTTTGGACAACTGTCCCATTCATGTCAACAAATCAGTGTTAATTAAAAATATATCTCATTAATGAAAATCTGGAAATATCCCAAATTGAAAATGCAGAGTCGGTAAAAATGAAATCTCAAATCAGGGAGGAAAAGATACAACTTTGTAATAAGTAAGATTGTGTCGTGACAACTATGTAAAGAAAATAAATCATTGGGGTCCAGTCCTCCCATCATGTGCTGGATAGCTTCTAAGTGGGTTAGAGATTTTTTTTAAAAAAAATCTTATAAATACTAGAATAAAACATAGGTGTAAGTTTTAGTATAAATCTAGAATAGAAAAAATTGTCCATATTAGGACACAATTTATAAACAAAATAATGGAAAATATCAGTGAACTGATAAATTTACCACTGAAACATGGATAATGACAAAGTAAAAAAAAAAGTAATTTGTATAATAGCTAAGAATAATACATTAAATTAAATTAAAAATTTTTTTCACATCTAAAAACAAAGAAAAGTCCCAGTGCTATAGAAAAATGAAAAAAATAATCAAGTAGCTAAAAGAGCATAGAAATCTACATGCTCTGAAAAATATGGAAAGATGTTCTGCTTTGCTCATAATAAGAAATTGCAAATTAAAAGCACCCTGAGATCCCATTTCTCACATATTGTATTGGCCAACATCCAAAAGTTTGGCAATACCCTCTGTGGATGAAAATGAATAAAACATTCTCCTATATTGGTAATGGAAATGCAAAATGTTAAAAACCACTTTGGAAGGAAATTTAGTAATTACCAGCCACATTTTTTGCATTTGTTTTGTGACCCAGTAATACTACTTTTAAGAACATATCCCAAAGATCTAGAGAAAAATATGAAAAATAAAATTATGTGTAAAAGGCTATTTATGGAAGGAATACCTGAAAAATAAAGCTTGGGGGGAAAAACCAAATGTACATCAATAAGGGACATGGGTTGGTTAAGTTCACACAGCAAAGTAAACCAATGGAGTTCTAGGCAGTACTAATACTAACACCACAAGAGGAATATGTCCATAACTTGCTAAGGAGTTTTCTCAGTATATATCGTTAAATAAAGAAAGCTAGATGGAGAAAGTGAGTATGAAATGCTATTGTGTACCTAGAAGGACACAGTATACACAACATGTTAAGTATAAATAGGAATAAATTAAATATAAGCAAACAGGGGTGTCTTGATGGCACATTGGTCAAGCCTATGAATTTGGCTTAGCTTGTGATTTCAGAGTTGTGAGATTGAACCCCGTGTAGGGCTCGGCTCAGCACATAGTCTAAGATTCTCTTTCCCTCTCCCTCTGCCCCTGCCTTTCTGTCTCTCTTCCCCTTTCTCTCTCAAATCAATCAATCAATCAATCAATCTTCAAGCAAAACATATAACCCAACATATTAACTATTAATATGTACATATGCATATAGCTTACTGTAAGAGCTGAAAAAGTAATTTTGAAATTAGAAAACATAGATACTTTGGGAAATAAGAGAGAAGAGGATGAAGAGGACAAAAATAACAGGTAGGCTTCTTCAAATATAGTGTTTTGTAGGTTTATTTCCTAGAACCATGTAAGTACTCTGCATAATTATAAAACAAACTGTATTTACAAAGGGGAAAATAGCATTTCTAGAAACTGAAAGCAAATTGAAACAAATGAAACTATGTAATGAATTGATGATACAAACACCCAAAGTAAAATTAGACCAAGTGCCTTTAAAATACATTAATTTAACTGGACATCTCTATGCATATAGAGCAAGGACCAAACAACTTTAAAAATAGAACTGTTTCAGTATATATTTTGTTAGTAATTAATGATGCTATTAGTTTTAAACATAAATACACACAGTCATCATATTTTCCTATTTCATAAATGTTAGACGCTTTTGGTCATAAAAAGTTTTGAAACAGGTAGAGACATAGGCAAATGTGATAGATTAAGAAGTTTCAAGAACATCAGATAAAAATGAAAATAAATTTTAGGGACATCAAAGCCAAAAGCAATGCTTTATTGGAATTAGATACTGATTGGAACAACTATGGGTTTAATGAAGATAATTGAACTATAATCTGTGTGTTAAAGAGTCAAAAGTGCAATGGAAATAGAAGAAATGGAGACAAAGGTACAATACAGAAATGGGGAAATGAAGACAAATGCTGAAAACCAGATCACAAAAAGAGCGTGTATTGCAAGATCACATCGCAGAACAAAAGGTATTCATAGTTTGAAAAAGATCGGAAGTCATTAGTTTAGTATATTTGGGGTTGAAAGAATGTTTATATTGTTCTTACTCTTTTTATTTCCTAATTTTATACACCAGATATTTACTGCCTCAGTCAGAATAAGTTATTTCTACCCTTGAGCCAGTGATATATCTCTTATTAAATCTGAATGCAAAACACAATTATAATTCATTAAATTATTCCCCCTTTCTTTTGTTATATTTGAGAATGTTAATGCACTGTATGTTTTAAAAGAATCATTTAAATGGAACAATGTAAATCTCACTGAATTAACACTAAAGTCTTTATCATTTATTCCTTTACAAACTTAAAGATTTAACATTTTTCAAACCACTCCTTACGCAAAGGCTGTTTTTCCTGAGGTTTAGTTTTTCTTCTACCTCTTGCCACTTAAAAGCTATACTTGAATTTAGTCATGTAAAGGTGTATACCTAGTGATTAAAATGGGATTTTATTTCTGCCTGTACTTTACCAAATAGAAAATGCATTTTTAATTTTTTATGTCATTACTAAAAAGACCTCCATCATTGCTAATTGATTTCTTTTAAGTATTTTTATGCGATTCTTACTATGAAGACATATTCAGTGATCCAGACTGTTGTGCTATCTTACTAGCCCAGCCCCATCTGCAACCATAGTCTATACTGTATATTGTAAGCTAAATGACAAAGTGTGGGAATAATTGGTGGGAATAATACAGGGTACAGTGATGTATCAAAAAAATGTATGCTTCCTCTGCAGAGAGAGAGGGAGGGTATGCTTTTCTTTCCTGCAGTTCCTTCTTTCAGTATTTTTAAATTAACATTATTTACTAATTTGCATAATGCCTATAATTTTTAATGCTCTCTTTAATAGCCTGCTCCTTGAATCTTCCCTTCAAATTATAGCCAAAACTGAAAAAATAGATGTATTTATTATAGGTGATAATTGCTTATATCACCAGAAGTATAATTTTTAGAAGAATTTTAACTGCCATTCCTTTGGCAGACTGACAATACATCTTCAGTCAAAAACAGTAATAATTCTTTTTTATCCCATGTCTCACTCTGGTAAACAATAGCTCTTGGTTTTTTTTGTTTGTTTGTTTGTTTGTTTGTTTTTTTAGGACTGGCAGGATTCATGGTCAGCAGTTGTAACTTCAGCATGTTACTGGAATGCCATTCTGCTTAGGGCTTCTGCATGTTTGGGAAACTATTAGGTTTGGGCATTGTGATTAAGACGAAGGTCAGTTTGGCCATAACTTTTTTTATGGAGACTTTGAGAGTCCAGGTTTACTACTTACTAAACTGTTCTAAAATGAAGTGTGTATCCTTTATAAGAATCATGTCTTAGAAAAAAGTGTGAGCCTTATAAAAAAAATGCAAGTGATTTTAAGAAAGAGTCTACAAAAAAAGGGAAGCTATAACCTGCTCCCCCTTTTCACTCTGGCCCCATCTGTTGTAAATGAATAAAGGCACAAATTGGGTTTTATGCTGAACACTTTAAAGTCAGTAGTGGCTTAAGGTTATAAGCAAATGAAAACCAGAAGGAGACTTGGAAGTTCCATGAACCTATGTGCTTGAAGATACAAGTTTCTACCAGGTGACTAT